ACGTAGACAATAAGAAGAAATTATTATTTATAGAGCTGTGGATTAGCTAGGTTGGTTGTAGTCAAAAGTGCATTCTAAATTTTGGCCTTCTTGATTTAAAACGTAGAGATCTTATGATAAATATTACTCAGTGCTATTTTAAAAAGAAGTGTAAATACAGCTGTTCCTCATTTACTATGCCTCACTTAAAAAATAAAATTAATTGGGTCTAACATTTATTAGCTAGTTGCCATTGGACAAATTATTTAGTAGCATTAGTCTAAGTTTTCTGTGAAATGAAGATAAGAATAGCATTGACTTCATTTTTAGTAAAATGAGGATGGGGATAGTATTGACTTCCTAGGAGTACTGTGAAGAGTAAACAAGATGATGCATGTCAAATGCTCGGCACACTTGGCTTATAGTAATTGATCAATACAATATGGCTTTTTTTTTAAAAAAAAAAAAAAAGGAAAATGTAATGTTTTAAAGATGACAAATTATGGGAAACTATTTGCTTGATAACAGTATACACTATGGTTTTCCTTTAAAATGAGGTTTATTAATATGCTTTCATTAAAACATTATTTCACTCCTGAACGGAAAAGTCTGTTATGGAGGCAGAGAGGGGAACCAATGGAACCCATTGTTTTGTATTTACTTTGTCAGGTCATTATATTCTTCCAGTTCCATTTCCTTCTCATGTCTTGCTTTTCCCTTCCCTTCAGTTCTCATGTCTTTCTGCTCAGTGAACATATAAACAGTTGGACAATCTTTAGCAAAATAACACTTAAAACATGTGAAAACTATTTTATTACCTCTTCTTTGTTGCTCAAGTTGAATACATCAGCTCATTTAAACTTTTTACTTGGCCAGTTTTCCAAATCTTTAATCATCACTATTTTAGAACCTACACGAGTTTTATCATATCCCATTTAAGTGTGGAGCCCAAGGAAGACATTCATTCAGTGATGTTCTGACTAATGCTGACTCATCTGGAAGGTGAGTGTCCTGCTCCTACTTATGTTTCCTAGGATAGTATTGTGCCCAATTTTATTCTTTCAGGGGTTGGCAACTGAAAGAATTTGGCCTGTAGGCCAAGTCCACCCATTGCCTGTTTTGGTAAATATTTGAGTGTTATTAGAACACAGCCACCTGTATTCATTTAAGTATTGTCTGTATGTGCTTTTGTGCTGCAACTGCAGAGCAGAATAGTTGTGACAGAGACCTTAGGACTCATCAAAGCCTAAACTCTGGCCCTGTGATCACTGAGTGTCAACCTGATGGGACTGAAGGATACAAAGTATTGACCCTGTGTGTGTCTGTGTGGGTGTTGCCAAAGATTAACAATTGAGTCAGTGGCCTGGGGAAGGCAGACCCACCCTTAATGTGGTGAGCACCCTCTAATCAGCTGCCAGTGAATATAAAGCAGGCAGAAAAACATGAAGAGGGAGACTGGCCTAGCCTCCCAGCCTACATCTTTCTCACGTGCTGGATGTTCCTGCCCTCAAACATTGGACTCCAGGTTCTTCAGTTTTGAGACTTGGACTGGCTCTCCTTGCTCCTCAAGCTTGCAGACAACGTATTGTGGGATCTTGTGACTGTGTACATTAATACTTAATAAACTTCCCTTTATATATTATATATACACTATTAAGTTCTGTCCCTCTAGAGAACCCTAATACAAGACTGTTGCAGAAAATGTTTGCCAACTCCTGCTTGAAAATGTTACTACGCCATATTTACCCTGGATGCCTTCTCTCCAGCCTCATCTCTCTCTCCCCTTGCGCTCATCTCTCTATCGCCTCATATCTTTCTTCAACCTCTCTTGGCCACTATGTTCAAGCCACACCTGCCTCCTTTCAGTTTCAGGAAAACACCAAGACCTTTCCTGCCCGGGGACTTAGCACAGGATATTTGCTCTGTCTGGACAGCCCTCTCTGTCTGGAACAGTATTCTTTCGAAAGCGGATTGCTTCTCATTGCGTTCCAGCTCATATCTCAGAGAGGTTTCCCTAACCACTCTACTGTAAATAGTTCCTTCTCTCACACGTCAGTTGTTCTTTTTCACATTACTCTGCTTTTTGTTCAAAACACTTATCACAACTGGAAGATGTTTATTTATTTTCTTGTTTAAGGCCCCTGTCCCCTTGTTCTGTGAGTTCCCTGAGTGAGAAACAATGTCTGTTTTGTTCACCACTCTATCCCCAAAGCCTGGCACATAATATGTGCTCAATAATAAATTGCTGAATAGATCAACAAATAAGAGGCAATTTTGCATGTATAATGACCTTCCTTTTATTTTGTAATTTGGACTTTCTCTTTAAATGTAAGTACTCTGCTTTGATAATGTTTGTTATATTTTCTCTCCTTTGCTCCAAATTATCAAGGTCATGTTGTATTTAAGGTTTTTTTCTCTCCTTTGTGGTAATTTCTCTCCCAGCGTGATGCCATTTGCAAACTTAATGAATACTATTTGGTTATTTATGTGGTTAGGAGCAGAATGAGGAAGACAGGCTGTACTGACTGCTCTGCTACATTTGGGTCATTTCAGTAATAGGAACACTGAATCTTCACAGAGAAAGTCTCAGCTCATTCCTGAATGAGATGCCGAAAATAATGTATTAGAATATTAATGAATACCTCATAAATTGCTTAATGTTGGTTTCTGGAATATTTGTATATTGATGCCAGTATACATTTTGATTTCTAGAAAAGCATTCCCATAAGCCAAAATTGATTATACTTATATGTGTTAATTACAAAAATTTTCTGCAGTAAATATCTCTTCACAGTAAAATGAGATACACTAGAGAAAATTGGAATTCTTATGCAGTGTAACAATTATGGTTCTGATTAAACTGTGTCTCTGCTTTGCAATGATGATCTGGCCAAAATGAAAGCTTTTCTATTGCTGGCTCCACTGTACACATCTCCTCACCTAACACCCCATCAAAACAGCCCCCGAGGCAAAATCCAACAGCTCCTTAACAACTCAAGAACACTATACAGAACTTAGAAAATGTAGGTAATTCTCAGAGTGTTGTTCCCAGACCAGTAGTGGCATCACTGGGAACTTGTTACAAATGCTAATTCCTGGGCATTCCTACTGAATTAGGAACTTGGTGGACTGTGTTAGAGAAAAGCTGTGCCATGACCCTTGTTAAAGATGGTAAGACAGACCTTATTCAAAGGAAGGTCCTACAACAGGGTTTTGTAATAGGAGAGAGATTGGGCTCAACTCCAAATACAACAAGGATGAGTGGGGATTTATAGCTGTATTAATCAGGATTCTCTAGAGAGACAGGACTAATAGCATAGAGGTATATATGAAAAGGAGTTTATTAAGGAGTAGTGACTCACACAATCACAAGGTGAAGTCCCACAATAGGATGTCTCCAAGCTAAGGAGCAAGGAAGTTGTAAAACCTCAAAAGTAGGAAAGCCAACACTGCAGCCACAGGCTGAAGGCCTGAGAGTCCCTGGAAAACCACTGGTGCAGGTCCAAGAGTCCAAAAGCTGAAGAACTTAGAGTCCAATGTTCGAAGGCAGGAAGCATCCAGCACGGGAGAAAGATGGAGGCCAGAAGAGTCAGCCAGTCTAGTCCTTCCACATTCCTCTGCCTGCTTTTCTCCTAGCCGTGCTGGCAGCTGATTAGATGGTGCCCACCCAGATACAGGGTGGGTCCGCGTCTCTCAGTTCACTGACTCAAATGTTTATCTCCTTTGGCAACACCCTCACAGACACACTCAGGAATAATACTTTGTATCCTTCAATCCAATCAAATTGCTACTCAGTATTAACCATCCCAATAGCTAAGGAGCAGGAGGGCATCAGAGGATGGAAACTTACTTGAGGAAACATCAGGTATAAGGGGAAATTCTGGCTAAAGGGACCTAAGAGGATTCTTGCGGAAGGCAGGCCAGGGTGATCAGACATCACCTAGGGGATGGTGGACGATCAGGTATTCAGGGTAATCAGATCTGCAGGGTGGAGAATTCTGGTTAAGCTGCGTTAGTAGGATTCTTGCCAAAATGGACAATGCAGACACAAACACAGAAGCTTAAAAGCCAGGGTCTCATTGAGAAGAGAGTTCAGAGGAGGTTGACTGGAATTTGGTGAAACAGAGTATCTTTGTCAGGTGGTGGAGAGGCAGAGGAGAGAGGAAGTCAGCCATCTGTGTTATTGTAACAAACCCAGCAGAAGAATCTAAGATAGGTGAACTACTGAAGTAGGCAGAAAAAATTTATCCCAGGTGGGGTTTAGGTAGGAAATCTGTGTTTTAACTCACTTATGTAAAACACAGAGGTCCCCTAGCTAAGTGTGCTAAGGCGTGAAGCTTTCCAACTGGGTCCACTCTTGTCTGATACCTACTAAGGCATTGTTTCTGGGAGGAGTCTCCAAAAGTCAGCAAATTTCTTCTCTGATTTGGAGGGCTTTTGTTCAGGTAGGTGTTACACCCACATCTCCTGACTCAGCTATGAGTAATAATTGGGCCTGGACCATTCTTCTCTGCAGTCTACATTATACACTTACTCACCTGAACTTTGACTTTCCCCACTTTTTTTTTTCATTAAAATTGACCTTGGACTCTCCCTTGTTAGACTTGCTGTACCTTGAGGGTTGAAATGGACAAGAGATTTTTACTTTTGAATAGTTCACAAACTTTAGCATGCAGAATCACTGGATGCCTGTTAAAACAATTGCTGACCTCCCTTGATCACCACCAAGTTTTTGATTCAGTAAGTCTGGAGTGGGTTCAAGGACCTGCATTTGCATAAATTCCCAGGTGATGCTGATGATGCTGGTCTGGGGACCACAGTTTGACAACTTCTGTTCTGGAAGAGTGAAAATTCATTTAATTCATGAAACAGTACTCAAAAATTTTAAAACAGATGTGTGTTTACCAGGTATATTAGTCCTTTCTCATACTGCAAATAAGGTCATACCCAAGACTGGGTAATTTATAAAGTAAAGAGGTTTAATTGACTCAGTTCCACATGGATGGGGAGGCCTCGGGAAGCTAAAATCATGGCACAAGGGGAAGCAAACATGTCCTTCTTCACATGGTGGCAGCAAGGAGAAGTGCTGAGCGAAGAGTGGGGAAAGCACCTTATAAAACTGTCAAATCTCATAGCAACTCACTCAGGATCATGAGAACAGCATGGAGGTAACTGCCCCCATGATTCAATTACCTCCCACTGGGTCCCTCCCATGACACCTAGGGATTGTGAGAACTATAGTTCAAGATGAGATTTGGGTGAGGACACAGCCAAACCATGTCACTAGGTACTTATCCAAAGCATATCCTAACATGGAGGATTTTAATTTTTTAATGCTTTTTTTTTTTTCAGCTTCATACTAGCCAATATGGGAAAGAGCTGATGGTATGCTAGAATTCACAGGTGCCAGGTACAGAAAGCTGTACCCGAGAGATTGGATATCTCTTTCCAATTCTGTTCAGCGACATCGTGTTGATAGCTTGAAATCATCCATGGCAGCAGAATCTATATCACGGAAATCAGATAAGCATTATAGATCGGGGTTTCTCTTCCACTCTCCCAAACTGATTCTTTAACATTTATCAGCACACTACTGGGAAGAACCATAAATAATGAACATACAGGATAAGATCTGAAATGTCCTTGCAGGAGTACAGATATGAATTGGACAAGGGTTGGGAAATGAAATTTGTAAATGTATATGTCTTCCAAGAAAATGTGAAAGGGAATGATGAGGTCAAAAAGGTATTCAGCAATTGCTTAGGGAACATTGAGAGGCCAGAAAAGTGTACTCTTTAAGGGATGGGCTTTGGAGTTAGATACACCTGGGTTGGAGTCTGACTCCATCACTTATTGTCACTTATTGTATGTGATCTTGAGTAGGTCACCTGACCTCTCCTGATTTTAATTTCCTCATTTTTAAAATAGAAATAACGTGTTGTTATAAGGCTTACATAAGAGAAGTAATTTTAAATCTAGCATGATACCAAACATACTTGTTACTTTAATTCAGGAAATGTTCATTATTATTACTGTTTTTTAAAATTAAGTATAGAGGTTGCCAACATTCTGTCAACAAATATTTACCCAGCACCTTTTATGCACCCAATACCCAGTAGACACCATTAATAAGTTGTGGTTACTACAGTCTAGGAGTTGACAATGTAATGATGCCATCACATTTTCAATCAGCCTGCAAGAAAAGAGAATTAAAACGTAATTGTTTAGGTATGTATGCTAACACTTATAAATATAAATATTGACAGAAAAGGAAAGAGATCCAAAATAATCAATAGGATTATAACTAAAAGGAACAGAGGCTATGAAATATAGTGTGAAACGATTGCTCTTTCTGATCATGCCTTAGCAATAACTGAAAACATTTCTCAGGCACTAGGATACTTTGCAAAGGATACATAGAGGATTAAAAAATCTCGTTTGAACAAGAGAGAATATTAACATATGATTTAAAATGATTAAAAGCAAGAACGTTTTGTCTCTTTTCAGGATAATATAGAATAGTGTGACATAACACAATATGAAATGAAGAATATTAATTGGCTTACACAATTAAAACACTATTTGAAATATAATTCTATAACAAGGGGACTATTCATTTGGTTTTTCATGATTCCTACCAAAACATTTACTGAAATTTTTATGTATCTACAGTTGACAATGGAGGACTTTTAACTCATACTTTTATAAATATATAAAAATAATTCATTCAGAATCAATTTACTCTCTATAGAGAGTAATATATATTGCTGTACCTTTTTAAAAATATAAACATATATAATACCTATATATACTACTGAATGGAGTTCTGATGTCAATATCATGTTCTTTTTCATTAAACATTGGACAATCATTCTTATGCAGACATCCAAGGGAAGGATCTCTGTTTTGGATTCCTCTTCTCCCCGTGTTGTCCAAATTCAGCTTGTTTTCTTTCCCATTTATATCCTGTGATCACTTCTCTTCTCACATGATTCTGGCAGAAGAGTGTAGGCTTGTGTTAAAACCACCTAGATTTTGTCACATATATGCTATGCGATTTGGGGCAACTTGACTTATTTGAACTTCAATTTTACCTTTTGTGTGATGGCTAAAATAATACTTCAATTTTATAGGGTTGGTTGTGGAAATTAAGACAACACATGTAAAGTACTTTGCATTCTGCCTAACACTTGGTAAACACTCATTAAATAGTGGTGGGTTTTGTTTTCTCTTTACTTTCAGGGTTCTTACTACTAGTTACAACTTGTTTTCAGTCAATGAATATGCAAATGAGAACTGTTCATTGTAAGCATAGCATTTATAGAGGTTCTTCCTTCACTATGCTTTGCAAAATGCTGGCTGTCTGCCTTACTAGAAAACTATAACTTGAAAATTTATCTCTTGCTGTTGTTAAACTCTATTTTGTAGCTCTCTGTCTAACCTCAGTATTCTCTGGCTAGGTACTATGGCCTGTCCTGGATTCTCCATTTAGATGGTAGGAGTTTTTTCCTGCTAAGAAATGTTTCTTCCTTTGGGCCCTACGTAATAATGGATGTCCTTCAGGCATGGTGGCTCATGCCTGTAATCCTAGCACTTTGGGAGGCTGAGGCAGGAGGATTGCTTGAGCCCAGAAGTTTGAGACCAGCCTGGGCTATAGAAAGACCTCTCCTCAACAAAAAATAAAAAATGAAAAAACAAAAAAATAGATGCCCATCCCAGTACATAAGTTCTAACACTTCCCGAAGAACCACATTAAATATCCTCTGTGTATTCCTGAAATGCTAAGGGGAAGAAATGGACCCAGAGACTTTAAAAACTAAAATATATATTCCTAGTTGCAGAAGTATTTAATGGAGATGAGGCTTGGGGTGGATGGAGGCAAAGAAATTTAAGTCAAAGCAACAAAAATTAAAATGCAAATAAAAAGTTTAGATAATGTCAAGAAGATGAGAGGACAGAGAAGTTCAAGCAACAATGAAGGCCTCATCCCCAGAGTGTAAAGGGACAGAGAAAAGTGGGCAGTGATTTAAAGAGAGGAAAAAAAAAAATGAAGATAGTGTCAGGAACGGTTTCAAAAGAAAGAAATACAGAGGATGTGGGGGTCTGAAGGAAACAAAGGAATGAGCTGTAGATGTCAGGCACTTTGACTGAGGTACAGACAGGATGTGGTTCCTTGTCCTTATAAGGGGACAGTTTTAAAAAACTACATGTATACTTTATCTTTTGCAGTTCCTCCTACTGTTCTGGAGAACATTCTTTGCCTTGGGGAGGCAGAAGATTGTTATAGCAGAAATACAAAGTGGGAGGGGGTGTGTGTTGAGGCAAGGGTTGGGGAGAACAAGATAAAAAGAAAAGCAAGAGATTTTAAATTAGCTCCTGAAATCCAAAATAGGATTTTGCAAGAAGACACAGCTCTTAAAAACCAGCCTTTTTTTTAAGGCAAAGAAATTCTCTGATTCTTATATTTATCACTCATGTGTCAAGGCCTAATGGACCTTGACTATCAAAGTACATTTGATTGAAGTCCCAGAATGGAAGAAGTGTTTGAGTTGAGCTCCTATACAAAATCTTGGGTCATGTGTGACCAGATGGGACAGAGAAATTTCTACCTGCTGCTAAGGAGGGATATAAGGGGCATGGCCAGGTCGTATCACTGGTGTGGGCAGAACTGACCTTGTGGCCAAAGGCAGAGGGGGACAGTCTGGACCCAGAAATGAATGGCCAATATTAACAGACCTCTGAGGTTCTGCGGACTGACAGGAGCCAGGGCAGAGCTGTCTCAGCAGCTGGGCCCTAGCCTGACAAGCTGAGAGAAAACAGCTGGCAAGTGTACCAGACCCCTTCACAGTCACAAAACAAGTCAGGATGGTTGCCCAAACCTTAGGCTGCTTTCTGAGTGATGAGAAAAAGAATGGTTGCCAAGAAGAATGGCCAAGGCAGTAGAGCAAAATTCTTTTCATAATATATTTTTTAAAGACCAGAGGCAAAATTAACTGATGGGTACTGGTTTGACCAAAATCAGCTTTCCAGATTTTTAGTGTATTGGTCTATTATCACATTGCTACAAAGAACTACCTGAGACTAGGTAGTTTATAAAGAAAAGAGGTTTAATTGACTCATGGTTCCACAAACTGAACAGGAGACGTGGCTGGGGAGGGCCCAGGACACTTACAATCATGGCAGAAGTGTGAAGGGGAGGCAAGCACGTCTTCATACGGTGTCAGGAGAGAGAGAGAGAGTGCAAAGGGGGAAGTGCTACACACTTTCAAACAACCAGCTCTTATGAGAACTCTATCATAAGACAGCACTAGGAGGATAGCGCTAAACCATTAGAAATCACCCCAGTGATCTAATCACCTTCCACTAGGCCCCATCTCCAATACTTGGGATCACAATTCAACATGAAATTTGGGTGGGGACACTGAGTCAAACCATATTATATAGGAATTGTGCTTCAGTGATACATATGTGAAAATACAGAGTGCATGATAGGTCAGATCCAGCCAGTGTAGCAGAAAAAAAAAAAAAAAAAGAGTTAATTCCAGAGTACATGATAAGAGGGAGTTATACAGCTTATCCATAACATGCAGATCAAGAAAAGGCATTGACAATTTAAAGCAAGACATATTAATATATTTGTCTCTTTATAACCAGGCAAAGGTGTGGTATGGTATCATTTAAGTATATGGGTGTTTGAGAACCATGAACTCAAACCCCATCCCAACTCATTCCTCCTACACACTACAGCAGCATTGCCATGATGAGAACGTTGCTGGGGGAAAATGTAAGTGATGGGGGAGATCCCATAAGCAAGGCGACTCATGGAACATTTACTGGGGATTCTTCTGAAAAACATGTTTACGTCAAATCTGAAGGAGAAGAGACAGGAAGAAGAAAAGGAGAAAGCACCGTGAAGATGGAATAAGTCAGAGCTTAATGGTGAAAGCAACAGAAGGGTTGGCTTAACAACCATCCTGCCCAGTTCAGTTTTATCTGCTAATGAGAAGAAAAATGAGCATCAGTGAAGGAGAGGGAATTTATTCACACATGTGATCTCTCTGGGTTCTTCTTTGAGGGGCACAAGAACTCTGGGGCTTTGATTGATCCATCTGCTAGAACTGCCTAAAAAAAAAAAAAAAAGGAAAGAAATGAAAAGAAGAAAAAGCACAACAATAGGAGCGGCCGAATCTATAAATTACTTGATGCCATGGGCAGAGATGGGCACCTTGTTGCTTCTGGTCACTGCATGCCTGTTGGAATTCAACAGTCACAGCTGTTTCCTGTTCACTGGACTGGATATAAAACAGATTCAGGAAAGGGTTAGCTGCCCACCCAATCTAAGACTCTTGAAGGCTAACACTCAGCTCATCCGGGCAGTAACTTTCCATGAGGGCAGCTGGAGTTCGTTTGGTTTTATTTGCTTTTTCACTAAATAGATTATGTGGGCCATATTTCTAGGAGAGATGGGATTTGGTGGATACCCAAGCACAACATATATTTATTTTGTGTTAAACTAGAATAATGTGTTATATGAAGAGGCACTAAACTATAATAAAAATGACCTTGATTTAACTTTGAAGCCAAACATTTGCAATTTGAAGTAGCTGGTAGTTAGGAGAATGACACCTGGTACTTATGCAGGCATGTTTCAAGAAAATTTATATTCTATGAATCTAAACTTATATTAATGTCAATTTATTCATTGACATTTATTGAACTCTGTTAGCCCAGTTACAGATAGTAGTCTTCTTTCACCTTGCTGATTGAAAAAGGGAGGCAGAAAGAGGGTAAATTACCTTCTCTGGACTACTGGCTTAGTGGCACAATTAGGATAGGAACACAGAGACATTTATCTGGTCTCAGGGATCTGACATTTGAGGCACAGCAGAAGCTATGTTGCAATTTCCAACTCCTGTTTGCTATAATTGATACCTGTAGAAATCTGTGACTTTAAGGACATAATGTTGCTTTCATGAATCATATTTACCAGATTATTTATTCATGGGTTATAGATTATTTACAGACCATAATTGTGAATAAAGCCACTGGAGCTGATCATGCCATGGCGATTAGCATTACATTAACATGTGGGATGATAGAATAAAAGCAAGCAATTTTGTCAACAGAAGAGGATGCCAAAGCTGAACTGATAGTGCGGATAGCTTCTAAAAATTAGAGGATTTGCCAGTCCTCTACTATAGGCCTTTGAGTATATTAGGGAAGCCCGAGAACACAGACATGGAGGGGTATAAAATAGAGCTGCCCACAGAGAGAACTGAGTTCTCATTTGGAACAGAAATAACTGTATTATGAGCTAGAGGATTTGCAAGAGAAGCTTGCATGTGGATATTCTGCATATTCAAATGCTTCACTGTGCATTTAAGTTTTACATTGAATCCTTTACATTACATCAAAGGCTTTACTTTCTTCTCTTATCCATGTATAGAGAAAACATACATGCATTATCAACTCAATGGTTATTTCATCTTACTGTAACACGTAAAGAAATTTATTGGCAAAACACCTCACAATGGTGTTTTGTTAGAAAACTGAAGGCCATCTGTGCTGGAGTCTCCAGGTAGTGCTTCTTTCTTCTCTTTTGTTCTGTAGAATTGCACTGGTTCATACTCTCTAACTTTCAGCAAAAAGCAATTTTGTAAATGGTGCACTCAAATGCTCTGATGAAGTTATAACTGATAAAGGCACTGAGACGGAGATGCTGCAGTGAAAAATGGGGCACGTCAAAGAAAACTGATTCGTAATCATAAAATGCAGACAAGGAAGAATAAAGTGGTGTGTGTATTGCAGGCTGTCAGTTGCCCACTTCCAGGTTTGTTCACAGCCTGAGGGCATTATATCTTGTCAGAAGTGCTTGTGGATGCTCATCTGTCAACACTTGTTCAATGTCAAATTGTATCAGAGGGTTCAGTCTCCTTTTGGACTTCAGTAGTCATCTCTCGGCTCTATTATATCTCCTTTGGTTAAATGCACTTTCATTTCAAAACTGTCAGGCTTTTTTCATGCGTCCCTTTCCCCATGGAACTGGGAATCTGGGCTGGATCTTAAAGCCATATATACTGTTGCTTTCTTTTAACAATGACCTGACACAGATCTTTAATAGAAAATTCCCATTACCTCCCAGAATACATATGACGCAGCACACTCTTTCCCCAACTTCTGTGCCCCTTCATCTAACAGTCTCCCTGGCAGGGTTGAAGATTTTTGTCTTCACTTGTGAAAGCCAATTGCTTTACCCTTTTCTGTTGTGGTTCTTTACGACCACCACTGTCCTGCAGGGGTGCTTTTTCTCTCTGTCCCACTACTACTTCCTTTTTTGTTCCCCAGCAAATTAACCCCCTTCTTTAAGATTCATGATCTCAGAGCCCTTTCTAATTTATTACTACCTGAGACTTTCTTTCCAGACATTATATGAATTAAACTGCAAATCCTTTCATGACGAAATGCCTAGAAATTCTATATGAACAATTTTTTAAACCTCTCCTTTGAATGCATAGATGAGTTGATAAAACAATCTCCGTAGAGAAAGTGAATAGAAAGTCATATTTGACACCGTAGCAGTTACTGCTATGTGTGTGTGTGTGTGTGTGTGTTGGGGGGGTGCCAGTAGTCATGAGAAGCTAGGGATATAGACTGTAACACCATGGATCGACAGATGATGAGATGTGGGGACTGTAAGAGACAGGAATTGGAACTGAGATATATGTATAAAGCTGGGACTCTTGAAGGGCAACACTTAGTAAAAGAGTGACTAGAAAATAAATATGCTCACCCATGCAAGGAAACCACATGGCAGCGTCACTAGCTAAGACTGGTTGCTTGGGGACAAAGTCTCCCCTGGAGAACTTTATAATCACAGGCTTGCCATCTCATGGTTTGTGATTCATATATATACTTTTCTTTATGATTCATGAACCCTCAAGCTGAGATACAAGGTGAGAAGTTGTCACAGGTCAGTGAAACCTATGGGTACCTGGGAAAAGCAAACACACAGCCTAGGCCAAAGTGGTTTCCCACAGAAATAGATCCTCTAAAGATGAGCTCACAATCTAAAATTACAAAATATTCAAGGAAATAATTTTCCCTGAACCAAAATCAATAAAGACAATAAATAAATATCAAGATCACAAGCCTAAGAATTCAGATGTTACATTTATCCATTAGACTTTTAAAAAGTATGTTAAAATGATGAAAAGAAATATACTGCCAAAGAGGCCAAATAGAACTTCCAGAAATTGAAAATGTAAACACTGAAGTAAAAACTGAGGGAGCATTTTAAACAGGATATTGGACACACCTGAAGAGTGAATTCATGAACTGGAAGATAGATCTGAAGAAAACTATTTGTACTGAGACGCAGATAACATTACGAATGACATAGTTTATCTTTTGCACTGTGTTATGTGCCATGTACAGAGATTAAAATCTAGTCCCAAATTTACACTTCCAAAAGTCGCCTAATGTTGTATAACCACCTTCTGAATGATCAGAAACTCCTGAAGGGAGGCAACTAAAATGTATTTAGTGTATCAATCAAGTTCTCACCCCAAGTTCTGCAATATAAGTACCAAACAGTTAAGTTAACAATCCTGAGAAAAAGGAAAGAGAAAAGATGGGCATTTTATCTATTTATATGACTATATATATAACAGAGCGAGGAGGAAATGATAGGTAGATGCCATAATTCTTACTTCTGCAATGGCATGAGCCATGGTTGATATTTCCTTCAGTTAGCACCTTAGACTGTTGACTTTATCAATGAAGCCTTCGTTTCTGAGGAATATGAACTCTTGGTGTCCAGTTTGTTTTGGATTGCAAGACCCTTCTTTGCCTCTTGGCTTAGTAGAGGCACCCCAGATCAACTGGATTCTAGCCAAAGTCTTCCTGCCCCCAATTTGCAGCAATTATTCTGTTTCTCCTAGACAACCAGAATCAAACACCACTTTGTTTGTTTTATCTGGTGTCCTCAAGAGACTAACTGAGCAGATGGCAGTTGCCATGTTCAATTTAGTGGTATTATTATTAAACCCTTTGATGGCAGCATTTCTCCCTTGGATTTGAAAAACTTAAGTCATTAGGGGTAAAAAGTAATGGAGATTGGAAATAAATATTTTGTAAATTAGTCATGAGTTGTAGCTATAAAAAGGACCAACCCTACTCACCCCTTCAGTGCTGGAACTCTTGTTTCCTAGCCAGTAATTGATTGCTTTTCAGAACATTTACCAAATTCCACAGGAGAGCATTTCGAGCTTGCAAAGTGTTAGATACTGGCTGATATAGTAACTGAGTCTTTAATAGGCAATTCCAGCTACATATGGGTAATGAGCAAGCAGATGTGACCAATGAATTTTTATAACATTTCCTTATTTCTTTTTATAGTTAAAAGGACTTTCTTGGCCAGAAGCAATATTGTGTGATATTCCATGAGGATGAAAAAGCCATCTAGTAAGTCTATGGTAGGTGCTACTTGAGGAGATATTGAGACACGGAAGGCATACCCAAATCCAGAATAAATGTCTGTTCCAAGGATGTAGCAGGATTCAGTGTAATGAATCTGCCACAGGTGAATTCCTGGTCCAATTAGAGTATTCTACCTTACTGGAGGGGTCAGGGTCAGTAACTGTTGTTGGTAGACTTGGCACCTGACTCTGACAGTAACTTAGTCAACCATAGTGAGAGTAGTTCTTTGTTGATGAGCTTGTGTATAACCTCTGTCATTGTCAATATGGATGATTTTAGAACCCACTGAACGAGGATGGGCTGGCTGGAGAAAGAGGCTAACTAATACAACAGGTTAGCTGAGCTTCACCTGACAACTGAGAACCTTCTCTGCAGTGGAGGCATTATAATGAGCATCTCTATGAGACACAGATATTTTTCTTGACATCAATCATCTGATCCTGTTTCTTCTAACAGCTTGATGATCTCTTAAATCTAATCAATCTGCCCTTTTCCTAGACAATGTGGACAAAGACATATACTTGAAGTTCTGCCTACTGGAAAAAATTCTCTCTTCCACTTCTCTTCCTGAGTGGGCTCTAATATCATGGAGGTGTGTCTCGGCCTATTGTCAGCCACAGGTGTCTCTTTTATATCACTGCATCATAGGGAACTTTCCACACAGCAATGTGGGCCCATGAAGTAAGCTGAGGGGAAGATGGCAGCATGGGAGATTCAGGCCTGCTGGAAGGGTAGGCAACATTCTTATTCAACTTTTTTTTTTTGAGGATCTGTCTAAGGCTGGTCTCTAATACACTAACTTCTCCTTGACTGTGCAGTGTATTGTTTGCAGCCAGTTTAGAGCTAGGTATATCTGGTAACACCAAGTTTATAATGGTCAGCTGAGTCCCCTATCACCAGGTATACCATGGTTAGCAGGGCCCAGTGGCAATCAAACTACTGTCTTCCAAAAGAATGACAGCTACATACCAAAGAGGATGCAGTTTTCTCTCAGATTCTTTGGAGACTTCATTGTGATTCTTCTGACGGGAATTTCTGCAGCCATCATATATTATCTTAATCTGCTCAAGGCATTTAATTAGCCATAGCATTGGCTGAGTCATGGGGATCAAGGTGCAGAGAGCTGTTTGCGGTGTAGCTTGGACAAGATGAAGACTCTTCTCTTGCTCTAGGCCTTAATCAAATTAGGCAAAGTTTCAGGTAACCAAATAAATAAGTTACGGTGTAAATATAGTTTATATTACTTCAAAAATGCAAAAATCCCACCAAGAATTGTATGTACAAAATATTGCAACCTGTTTTTTATTTTGGAAGGAATATACTGAGCCAGTCTACTAGTCTGCCAAAAACTTTACTGAGCTTTCAGATTTTTATACTTTTGTGGAGGACACCATCCATCTTCTGATGAGTCTGGCTTCTAGGCAGCCAGCTTCTTTTTGCTCTTCAGGTTGTATTATTACCAACAGTGTGATGGACCAGGGAGATATCTTGTGGAATGAGAAATAGTCAGATCCTTGAGAAGTAAATTGTGGCATAACACTGAGGAGGTGCTATGTCCTAACATGGAATAACAAAGACGTACAGCAGGTCCTTGAATAACATCACTTTGTTCAATGTTGTTTCATTATAAATAAACTTGATGATAAAAAGAAGAATTGATTCTTCGCTGGGGCCTCCGTCTGTGTGAAGTCTGCATGTTCTCCCCATTCTGTGTGGAGTCAGGTACTCTAATTTCCTCCCACAACCCAAAGATGTGTACATTATGTTAATTGGTATATCTTCTAAATGGTCTCAGTCTGAGTAAGTGTGTGTGGGTGTGTGTGTGTGTGAGTGCATCCTGCAGTGGAATAGTGTTGGTGCCAATCTTATGCCATGATAGGTTCCATCCACTGGCAACCCTGAACTGGAATAAGTGGGTTAGGAAATCAATGACTGAATGAATAATGAATTTTGTTATAGTCCAATAAAAATTCATAAAGTGTACAATAATCATCCAAATGAATGACAATAAATAATGCCGGATGAAAGAGTTCAGTGAGCCTGCCATATTTGTTATTGTGTGGTTTTGAATTGTGTGGTGGTAGGAGGTGCTCTTTTCAAGTTTTGACTTGCAAACACTTATTCCTTGATTTAACCCATCACTAGGACTGCTGTTACTCACCAGTTCACCAAAACCAGTAAATAATTATCTGGGTAAATAATTACCTTACTTGCTTCTATTAATCTTTCTTAAATGTATATGCAGCTCACATTTATTTCAAATGTTAATACTATAAGTGTTTTGAGCCTTTAGAAGTTTAACGATGATTTTGTGACCAAAAATATGCTGTAGGAACTTAGCTCCTTTTTATATCAATAGCCTATGATAAAATTGGTTTCAGAGCATGTTGTCTTGCATAAAGTCAGTTTCCAAGAACTTATTGACAACATTAAAGGATGACTTACTGTACTAATCTTTTTCCAGGGAAGCTATTGGTTTCTACTTGTTGGGATTGAAAAAAAGTCACTGGATCAATAACTGGTTATTAGGTATCTGTGGTTGTATTAATTTAGTCCATTAAAAATATTACATCTGGAACAGTAGCTTTTATTGGAGTCATCAGCTAATTCAGGTTATGAAAATTCACTATTGCTCTTCCAAAATCAATCATGTTTTGCACTAACTAAACTAGAGAATTACACTGAGCATTTTATAATTACCACTCTGCATTTTCCAGCCTTCCATGGTAGCAATAATCTCTGCACTTCTCGTATGGGTGTAGTATTGTTCTTGACTTACTATTCTGTATGGAAAGAGAGATAGCCTCTGCATGTCCCTATTTTTCTATAGCTCTTACTCTATGAGTTGAGAATGTAATGTGAGTATTTTTCTAGCTACTGAAATGTATTCAAACATTATGGTCAGGACCTGGGGAAATAACCATGTAATGGGATGAGGGTCACACACAGCCAATTGTGAAGGAGACTCAAGTGAAAATTATTTTCATGACATGTGACTCTGGGAATATCATAGACTGAGTGTGTGTGTGTGTGTGTGTGTGCACGTGCATGAAGGTCTTCTTATTGGTGACTAAAGTTAGATACTTCGTAAGACATAGTTCTTATGTTTTGGGGTTTGAAGAAAGTAAGGAAAATTTCCAAAGGACCAGAAAAAAAGGAAAAGCTGTGAGGACTTAAAAAGCAATTAACACAGAAGTAATGAGGGATTCCAACAAAGGCAGGAGCCAAATCGTCACTGCTACCAAGAAACTGTGCTTTGGTCTGGTGAAAAGATGTATGTGGGAAGTTGCTAAACTTGAGTGTCCCAGGTTAAGCGTAAGAATCTTGAAGGTGATTTAAGCCATCATAGAGGTTGGTAGCCTATCCTGGCTTGTGTTTGATGGAAACCAAATCCACTTTGGTGAAAATGTTTTTATTTTATGCTGTCATGTTTTCCATTGATCAAGATCAGCCAAATATGAACCCACAGAAAAAGATTACCAAACATGCAAAGAAACTAAACCATATCAATGATAGCTAGCATAGGTAACATACAATACATATGAACCCTCAAAGAGTTGAGACATGATAATCATAAAATATAGTTGCATAAGATGTAGGATATAAAACAACATTTTATGAACTATTTAAAGAAATGGAAGATGGAACAACAAAAAATGTACATGCAACAAAGCACTTAAAATTTTCCAAGCATATATAAAGAATATCAAATGTAAATTTTAGACATGAAAAATGTAGTTGTTGAAAAACAGAGGGTAAGGAACATAATAGATATAAAAGAATAGAAATAAGTTAATTTGGAGACAGACTTGAAGAAATTAACTAGAATGCAACACAGAGAAATGGGAGGTGTAAAATGAAAGAAATGTTAAGAGATGTGGAAGATAAAAAGAGAAGGTCTAATACTATGTCCCTTGTGACATATACAAGAAACAGTAGCAAGAGATCCACCTGGGAGATCATTAGAAATTCAGATTCAGCCTTACTGCTGACCTCTTGTATCAGAATCTTTATTGATTAGGAAGCTCCTCAGGTGACAATATACACCCAAGGTTTGAGAAGAAGTAGGTGAATAAATGTATAGTTAGAATCCCAGACTGAAAATACAGAGAATGGAGAAGAAGCAGTATTTCAAGAGATAACAATTATACATTTTCCAGAATTGAGGGAAGACATGAATCTATTTCTACCAAGCAGGATATCTATCTATCTATCTATCTATCTATCTATCTATCTATCTATCTGTCTATCTTCTACCTACTATCTATCTATCTATCTATCTATCTATCTATCTATCTATCTATCTATGTATGTATCTTCTATCTACTATCTATCTATCTATCTATCTACTATCTGTCTTCTATCTATCTATCTATCTATCTATCTATCTATCTATCTACTATCTGTCTTCTATCTATCTATCTACTATCTGTCTTCTATCTATCTATCTATCTATCTATCTATCTATCTATCTATCTATCATCTATCTATCTAGATTGTAGTGAAACTGTAGAACACCAAAAATCAAAAGGAAATCACAAAAATGACCTAGAGAGAAAAGACACTTGGACTGCTGACAATTGACACTACAACTGTAACTTCAACATCAACAACAGAAGCAGAAGAGAGTGGAATAATATCTGAAAAGCAACTCTTCTGTACCAACCAAAACTATCTTTTAAGAATAAGATGAAACAAAATAATTTACAGAGAATCAAAAACTGAGAGAATTATCCACATACCACACTTAGGAACATCTAAAGGATGTATTTAAGAAAGAAGAAAGATTATTCTAGAAGAAAGAGCTGAGATGTGAGAAAGAATGGTGAAAAAAAAATCAGTAAAGTCGTTAAACAAGTCAAAACAAACATTTTTATAAAGTGATATCTAATTTGTGAAGGCTTAAAACAAAGGGAAGAATTAAAAATACTTGACAACTGATATGTAAGTTGGGAGGGGTGGTTAGAATTAATTTTTTTTCTTAAATTTTAATTTC